TATGGAGTGTCTCTGCGCGCGCGCGCACGACACAACACACACACACACACACACACACACACACACACACACACACACACACACACACACACACACACACACACACACACACACACACACACACACACACACACACACACACACAACACACGATAAAGTAAAAACGTTAAGGTTTGTACATCTCCCATGAGGTGAATGGGCTGGACTAAATGTGACGTTGGTGCTGACCAATGAGGAGCCGCGCTGTCGGCTGGGGGCGGGGCTTCTGCTCCCGTCCAGAGAAAGTGCCACGACTCCGCAGCCCGACTCTCCTGAGGTGAGACCCTTTATTCTACTCATATCAATTCTTTAACTGTCTTTCTTTAAAACATAACCTGAGACTAAACTCTGACTGCTCTCTGCAACACATCTAAACTCTGAAACTGAGACTAAACTCTGAAACTGAGACTCAAATCTGAAACTGAACACTTTAAGTCTGACGCTGCAAAGTCAGAAAGTTTGGGAAAAACTGGATTTGGATGAAAACTCAGAGAAAAAGGCAAAAAAAACCTTGATTTGACCAAAGAGACAGTTAGTGATAAAGAGAAGGGAAATAAGGTTTGAATGATTTCTGCAAGGGGAAAGATGTGTCTCACTGAATCTCTTTAAACAGCCTGGAACAGCCTGGAACTACTTCAATAAATATATCAAACATATAACATTCATATATATATAACACAGTGCTAGGGCTGCGGACTGCACGTACACTCAACTGAGTGTGAACAAATACAAACGTTTATTTCAGGGTTATTAACGGTGTTTAATTTTGAAATTCTGTACCTGAGGTGTTCTGAAGACAGTTACATAACTGTGTGTGCGTGTGTGTATGTGCATGTGTGCGTGCGTGTATGTGCGTGTGTGCGTGCGTGCGTGCGTGTGTGTGTTCACTGTACAAAGGGTTAATTGTGGACTCGGACACGTCGCTCTTTCTCAGACCCTCTCTGTGTTTGAACTGTAAAATCATATTTGATGTGTCCAGTTTATTATCATCCTCTTCTGATTTAGATCAGTGCTCTCAGTGCTGAATGCCAGATTCATTGACTTCACATGATGCACTGATAATGTGACTTTCGTGGGATGATGGGAGAACTCGGAACAAAATGTACTTAAAGCGTAAAAAGAGAGACGTCCTGTTAGCGGTCCGTGTCAGAGTGTTATCATCATGCTGGAGAGTAGTTTAATAAAGTGCATGTAGTACTGTGTTTAATCTGAGGTACTTTTTATGCCATCCATCTTTGTATGGTGCTTTTTACTGCATCACTATGTCTATATATGAGGCCCTGTAGAAAAACAACAACTCACTGGAGGTTAATTGATTAATGAATCGAGCAAACCATTAATTGATTGGTCGATTATTGTAAGTCAATAGTCACTCAGTGGTGAATACATGTTGGGACGCTTCCCTGCAGTAAATATAAAAGTTCTGTATTGAAATGTGACTTTAGTGAGATGATGGCGAACTCGGAACAAAATGTACTTAGAAAGTAAAAAGAGAGATTTCGCATTGATTGTTAATTTTACTGTTTTATTTTCATGGTAGAACGTTTTTAAGGACATTTAGCACTTCAGTATAATTCTTCTTTACTTACTTTATTTATATTTTCTGTTAAATGGAACCTATATACTCCTGATGTTCAGGTGTATATCAGTATGTAGTGTCTCTACTTTAAAGAGTCCTCTCCTGCTGATGTTCAGGTGTATATCAGTATGTAGTGTCTCTACTTTAAAGAGTCCTCTCCTGCTGATGTTCAGGTGTATATCAGTATGTAGTGTCTCTACTTTAAAGAGTCCTCTCCTGCTGATGTTCAGGTGTATATCAGTATGTAGTGTCTCTACTTTAAAGAGTCCTCTCCTGCTGATGTTCAGGTGTATATCAGTATGTAGTGTCTCTACTTTAAAGAGTCCTCTCCTGCTGATGTTCAGGTGTATATCAGTATGTAGTGTCTCTACTTTAAAGAGTCCTCTCCTGCTGATGTTCAGGTGTATATCAGTATGTAGTGTCTCTACTTTAAAGAGTCCTCTCCTGCTGATGTTCAGGTGTATATCAGTATGTAGTGTCTCTACTTTAAAGAGTCCTCTCCTGCTGATGTTCAGGTGTATATCAGTATGTAGTGTCTCTACTTTAAAGAGTCCTCTCCTGCTGATGTTCAGGTGTATATCAGTATGGAGTGTCTCTACTTTAAAGAGTCCTCTCCTGCTGATGTTCAGGTGTATATCAGTATGTAATGTCTCTACTTTAAAGAGTCCTCTCCTGCTGATGTTCAGGTGTATATCAGTATGTAGTGTCTCTACTTTAAAGAGTCCTCTACTAAACTAAAGTGGACTAAATGTTTGCCGTCCCGCAGACTTCCTGCTCCCCGCTCTGACTCGTCATGGACGTCTCCGACCCGCAGACTCTCGGCTTCATGGTCTTCGGAGGCTTCATGTTCATCTCGGCGGTCGGCATCGCGCTGGTGTCGACGCTCTCCATGAAGGAGACGTCGTACGAGGATGCGCTCGCCAAGCAGCGCCGCAAACAACAGCCGCCCACCAGAGCAGAGAAGAAGAAGAAGGACAAGAACCAGGAGAAGAAGAACAAGGCCAAGAGGAAGGAGGAGAAGCTGGAGGAGGAACCGGGGAGCGACGCCGGCGAGGAGGTGCTTTTATTTAGGTCTTAATGTCTAGATGTGTCTGTTGATTGTGTATATAGGATATACATTTGTTTTCACATGTTATTTAGAAGACAGCTGAGAACATTTCACCAGTTGCAATGAAATAGACTTGCGGTCACAAGCAGAGCACACAGCGACATGTGGCCTCTGCTTTTTAACCCATCCCAGCACCAGGAGTCTAGAACTAGGAGTCTAGCACCAGGAGTCTAGCACCAGGAGTCTAGTACCAGGAGTCTAGTACTAGGAGACTAGCACCAGGAGTCTAGCACCAGGAGTCTAGTACTAGGAGTCTAGTACCAGGAGTCTAGC